TGGAGATAGGAGTCTCACGGTCTCTCCTGCCCGGGCTGGCTTTGAACCGTGATCCTCAGATCTCAGCCTCCTGAGTAGCTAGGATTACAGGCGTGAGCCTCCAGCGCCCGGCACCACTTTAGTTTTCTAATGTAACAATGTACATTAATTTTTTTGCCAAGAACAAGTTCAGCTCTTAAATAAGGCTTATATACAATATGCTAAGGATCAGAAAATTAATACTTCATTAATTAACTCCAATAGAATCACTTTAATTTGTTAACAGACATATTCATCATCAACAAAATTGTTTTTTTATAGTTGGAGTGGTGGGTCAGTCATGAGGCTTGAACATAGGGCCTGGCACTGTACCTAAGCCAGCCAGCCTACCTGCCTTCCTTCTTTCCTTTCTTTTTTTGTGCTCAAGGATAGTGCTCTACCACTTTGAGCCATATTCCACTTTCAGTTTTTAGGTGGTTAATGGAAATAAAGAGTCTCACAGATTTTCCTGCTTAAGCTGGCTTTGAACTGCAACCCTGAGACCCTGCCCCCTGAGCAGCTAGGATCACAGGTGTGAGCCAACAGCATCTGGCAAAAAAAAAATCTTAAAATTGTTAAAGGCAGTAAGTAATCTCAACAAAAAGCAGAGATTTCAGTTGCTTTTCTTAACATTAAATTTTTATAATTTTCCTAAAGCCAGTTTAGAGCAATAATATATTAACAAGGAGTAAAAAGTCTGGATTTTTAGGATTAAAACTTCTATTTATATAGAATAATTATGATATTAAATCAAAATGGATCATTGCATAATATTACTCAGTCAGATAAAAATATTAATACCCCAAACAGGCAATATTTGGGAAGCTCTATTTTAGGAAGTCAGAAATAATTACTCTAGTAAATACATTTGAATTAGATTCCAATTAAATGTAAATGGTTGCATTTTCTCAAGTATAATCACGATTTAATAATGCAATATATACTTATACCGGTACATCATGCTGTAACATTTTAGTCGTTAAAAAGACCATTTCAGGTGCTGGGAAGGTGGCTCAGTGGTAGAGCGCTTGCCTTGCATGCATGAGGCCCTGGGTTCGATTCCTCAGCACCACATAAGCAAAAAGAAAAAAGCCGGAAATGGCGCTGTGGCTCAAGGGGTAGAGTGCTAGCCTTGAGCTGAACAGCTGAGGGACAGTGCCCAGGCCCAGAGTTCAGGCCCTATGACTGGACCCCCCCCCTAAAAAAAATTTACTTATGTAAAACATAAGTAAATTTATAAAAACATAACTCTTATAAAATATAAACTTTTATAAAATATGTAGTCAAATATAAAAAATGAGTTCTATTTCAAATTATATATGACACAAAACTCTCAATACAGACTAACAGAAAATATTTCTTAAATGTTTAAAAAAACTTTCATTTATCAAGAATTGATTTTTCAGGAAAAAAAAGTCTTTGTTTTATGCTGGTACTGGGGCTTGAACTCAGGGCCTGGGCACTGTTTCTGAGCTTTTTTGCTTCAAGGCTGATGCGCTATCATTTGAGCCACAGCTATACTTCTGGGTTTTTGCTCGGTAATTCGAGTAAGAATCTCACAGCCTTTCCTGTCTGGGCTGGCTTCAAACTGTAATCCTCAGATCTTAGCCTCCTGAGCAGCTAGGATTATGGGCACGAGCTGGTGGCACCCAGGTCTCAACTCCATTATTAACAGCAAAGATCTAAATTACTGCTCAGTAAAAAAGAATAAATGATTTTTCTTCTTTATAGACTTATCTAAGTAAAAGACCAACCTGAGATTAACATGTGCCAACTTGACAATTATAAAAACTTGAACTTCATTAAGTATATATTGAAAAAAAAATAGCCTAAGTGCCCCATTTGTTAGGAAAATGGAAAGACGTGAGAAAAATTATAATTAAGTGAAGTAAGCCAGGCCCAAAGAAACATAGGTCCCATGGTTTCCCTTATTTGCAATAACTAGAATATATCTGAGACAAGCAGAAACGTCAGATAAGTTGATGTTAGGTGAAATGAGTCCCAAGATAAGGATTCAAATGTTTTTTCTTGCTTGCTATTGTTTCTAACATATTTAAAAGATATTTCTTTTTGCTTTGTATGTCTTCTCCCATGGTATAACCCCTGCTTTCACTGTATTTGATGGGGTATAATTTGTGGAAGGGAAGGGCAAAAACAAACCGTTTAAATAGGGATACAGGTAGACCCATTGCAACAATGAGATGTACAAGTCGTTATGTCAAAAAATGAACTTTACAACTTTGGAGGGGGCGGATGGGAAGGGATGGGAAGGAGAAAAAAAGGAGGAGGCAACAATGCTTGATAAGAAATGTACTCATTACCTTGCTCATAATTGTAACCCCTCTGTACAATATTTTCACAATAAAAAAAAATCTAACTTGCAAAAAAAAAAAACAGTTTGAACTTCATTAAGTATATATTGAAAAAAAATAGCCTAAGTGTTAGAGATGGTGAATAAATATATCCAGTTTTAGTTTCAAAACCAATTTCCTGAATTCTAAGTATTCAGTAAGCTGCCAATTTTGATCTTGTGTTGCTCTTTACCCACATGAGTTTTTTCTTTGTTTCTTTATTATTATTATTAATTAGAGGAGGGTGTGGGGGGAGGGGGAAGCAGCAATACTGTGTTTAAAAATTATAATCTGTATCTGGCTTTCCTGTGTATGTTAACCACTTAAATGTTATTATTATCCTGCTTTGGTTTTATAGTGATTGTGAAACATTCGATGCAAGTATATAGTTATTTTCTCATTAAAATAAAAAAACTTGAACTTCAGTCCACAGATAATCTACCTGAATACAGTTGATTTTCTTTCAATAGTTTACAAATCTGGGACACTGTCTTAACTCACTTACATTTCTGTCTTTCAGCCAGGGGTCCCCTGCAGCAAGCTGATAACCCACAGGATATCTCCTTAAAGTCTATGTGATTGTCACGATTTTCATCAAAGGCATTAAACAAACCTACAAAATAGAAAAAAAAAATACCATAAATCACAGCCAACTGCCTGCTAGTGTTAGTACTGACATGTTTATGAAAGAAGGAATGACTAGTTTCTTTCTTGTAACTTTGTTGAATTAAAAAGAAAAAGTCTATCAGTAACTCCTAATGCCTTATTTCTTTTAGTACAATTGAAACATAATATCAGAATTATAACACTTTGGTGTGATTATGTTTGTAACCTCCTTATATAAATTCTATTACCTTAAATATGTCCATAATATACCTAAGTGACAAAGGACCCAGAAAAGTCCTTACTATCAGATTAAGAAGAAAACAAAAAAAGTAGAGCAAAAAATTGTACTGCTTATTAAAATCAATATTAAAAATATGCATGATATCATGAATAAAGATCCACCAAAGCTCTACCACAAAACAAAGGAAATATAGTATGCTATTTTAAAAAGTCTTTATCTTATTGCTTACAGATTATTATTTAAAATTTCATAAAAGGAAAGGGATTTCAAGTCTAGTCATGTATTTTTCAATCTTTTTCTTTTTTTGTTGGTCATGGGGATTGAACTCTGGGCCTGGGCACTGTCCCTCAGCTTTTCAGCTCAGGGCTAGCTCTACCACTTGAGCCAAAGCACCACTTCTGGCTTCTTCTGATTATATGGTGCTGAGGTCGAATCCAAGGGCTCATTATGCAAGGCAAGCAACTCTACCACTGAGCCACCTTCCCAGCCCTCAATCTTTTTTTCCAGAAAATATGGAATAATTTTGTTTTGAAATGAAGTATGCCCAATTCTAAAAAGGCAAAAATACAACTTCATTGTTGAATTGATAGGAACCCATCAATACCTACACTAAGTCTCCTAAGGAGTACTTTGGAAGTATCTTAGGCATCTGAAAAAAGCACAGATTACATATTTCAAGAGGGCTGGGAAGCTGGTTTAGAGGTAGACTGCTTGCCTTGCATGCATGAAGCCCTGAATTCAATTCCTCAGTACCACATACACAGAAAAGGCCAGAATTGGCATTGTGACTCAAGTGGTAGAATGCTAGCCTTGAGGGAAAAAAGTTCAAGGACAGTGCCCAGGCCCTGAGTTCAAGCCCCAGGACTGGCACACACACACACAAAAATATACAATATATATTCCAAGAATCTAATTTAGAAAACTGTTTAGAAAACTAAAGCTCAGCCGGGCGCTGGTGGCTCATGCCTGTAATCCTAGCTACTCAGGAGGCTGAGATTTGAGGATCGCGGTTCAAAGCCAGCCCGGGCAGGAAAGACTGTGAGACTCCTATCTCCAATAAACCACCAGAAAACCGGAAGTGGCGCTGTAGCTCAAGTGGTAGAGCGCTCACCTTGAGCTGAAGAGC